CAGGTCGTTCGTGTCACCTGTAACCATCCGTCCTCTAAAAAAGTGGGATTCTAGTAGCGAACTGGTTAGGTTGTCTGGGAAACCAGAAGTACAGGGTTTCCACGGTTCGTACCATGCCTGCCAGGGTGAGACGCAGACACGCTACAAAGCTATTGAAGCGTCGCAAACCCCAAGCGACAGTGAAAGCAATGAGAGCGGCACAGGCGGAAGTGCTTGAAACAGTAGTTAAATATGGATTTACTAACCGTCCACACATGCCTTACAGGCCATCCACACATGGGTTAAAGGTGACAACCATGCGATGTCGGCAAGACAACGTAGGCGACGTCAATGACGGCGACCGATAATAGTTGTGTGTTTTAAGACAACGACACATCAACCTGAAACAAAATCCTGTTCTGACTCAAACACGGGCACGCTCCACCAGCGTAGCATTCTTCCGCGAATGTACCTGCATATGCATAAAATAACTGTTATTGGCATGTGGAAGGGTGTATACATACGTTTTGTCAATTGCCTCTCTAACTCTCCAAGGCGGTACGTTCGTCGTGAAACCATTGAAAAATAAAAATGGAAAAGGATGAAGCAGTCAAAAAAGATGCGGCGATTACGAAAAAGATGCAGCAGTCGCAACTGAGGTTTTTGCTTGGTTTGTTATCCAAGCGTTTGGTACGCTGACGAATGTTTCGTAGATCATGGGCTTGTTTTCTCGGATACGTGCTGTCTTATCACCATTCCAGTAGGCGCTGGCACAATTCCGCTCAAACAAAAAAATCGCTCGCATAATCGGCATCGACTGGACTATGTTCATACATCTTCATTGCGGACATGTATTAACAGTTTTTCACAATAACAACATTATTTGCGAACTGTTTGCAGCAGGTGTGTAGCTTCTGTCCACGCCATCTTGTAGCTATTGCGTGACGATGCAGCTGCACCTCAACAACATCCTTGGTAGTGGGAACAGCGGTAATGGAAACAGGTTCCGCGACGTTCCGTCACCTCTCAAAAATAATCCACAACAGTGAAGCTGTTCGGTCGCTTTTACAGCTTCACACTATACCATTGCTTCTCTGGTCAGCTGTCATGTCATTTGAAGTCCAAGCCAACGTCCTATAACGTCAATTATATCTGGCCTCTTCTAAAATATAACCGTGGAAAAGATACTTTTGTTGAGTGCACAGAAGATGCTTTAGCTGAGTCGGGTTCTCCCACAACAAGCGCATGGTTCAAAGAAGTGCTATGCCTGTAACATACAATTTAAGAAAGGATCCGTCTAAGCGTGTTTTTTGTCACAAACCATCTATCGCCGCAAGGCAGCATCGAAAACCTTCCCATCAACAAGCTCAGTGCGCACACTACGAACGTAACTCCTGCGGGCCCATTCACACAAGCGTGAAGTGTGGAGGCCTTCCATATCCTGCTCGAACTAAGAAAAATAAATGCACCAATATTCTACCCACCAAAAACGTCTTCAACATAGAGGAAGTACATCCATTATCATTCAAAGTCCTTAGTTTCACAGGCAAATCAACATAACAAACTATACTATGCCGTACTCATGTCGTGTATACCGGACACCGTCTTCTCCATTCATGATGTCGTTATGGCCCACAATTATCTCAAAAAAAAACTTTTGCCCATCCAGGAACCATGTAGGTTTTCTTTGATCTTTGAGATAATAGCAGTTAAAAGATCTGTGAATTGCAAACCAAATGCAGGTCTTTTGCCGAAAATCGAGTAATACGCATGAAACCAAAAACCTTCAAAAGCTTGCTATCTTCTTAGCATGCATGCCCCGTTCCCCAAATGTTCAATTGTTTATTAAACGCAGGGCTCCCAGAAACATGAACACCTTGCTGACACGAATCTTAATCGCGCTTGTCTCATCCGAAGCAAATCAGCCGTTCTTCAGATATCTGATCTCATGCAAATCGGATCAGCCGTTCTTGAAATATCCGATCTCATCCAAATCGGATTAGCCGTTCTTGAGATATCCGATCTCGTCCAAATCGGATCAGCCGTTCTTGAAATATCCGATTTCATGCAAATCGGATCAGCCGTTCTTGCGATATCCGATCTCATCCAAATCGAATTAGCCGTTCTTGAGATATCCGATTCCCTCCAAATCGGATCACCCGTTCCTGAGATATCTGACGGAAACGGGGCAAAACGCTGCCTTCCCCCCCCCCCCCTTGAGATACCCGAGGGAAACGGGGCAAAATTACTCCTCCCTCCCCCTTGAGGCTGCCGTGCATACATAAGCCTACAAGGAGTGGGATCGATACGTAATTTTGAGCTTTTTTAATGAGCCTAGTTTCAAAACAGCACACGAAATGCTTGAAAAGGTGTTGAATTTTGGCTGATCAGGAGCTAAATTTCAACACAATGCACGTTCAATGTCAGCTGATGGCAACAATTTCAACGCTGTGCAGGTTTACCGGGTGAACACATTGCACACCTAGAACTGCTTAGAAGTCATCGGAGCCTCCTCACTCTATCAGTATTCACTGGTGGTTACCGGCCACAAGTGATCCGACTCCAGCTGACCAGGACTCGACGGAGCCACACTGCACTGATCCCATCGTGCCACATCTTGCTACCATGCGGTGTGTGCCAAGACATGCGGCCCGGCTGCATGACGGGTGAGCATTGCTATATATCTCAAGGTTGCGGCCGCCGCGTCTCGTGCTGCCGCGCAGCGTCCGGCCGTCCAGCCAGCAGCGCAGCAGCAAACCTCAGCTGCCCAGTAAATGCACTGCCGCCGGTCGGAGAGTACGGTGCGACCTTTCCCGTGCCCAGCCGGAGCCAGCAGATGCCCGCCGCCGCCGAATGCCAGGCGGACCCCCGAGCGGCGCCCCAGGCCACGCCTAATTGATGGACTGGACGGGTGAATCTCTCGCGCGGCTCGGTGGCGGAGCGCACCGCCAGGCGCCGCGGCGATCGCGAAGGTCACCATCCACCGCCCGAACGCAACAGTCTAGTCCGTCACAGGCCCGCACAAATGGCTCCCTCAGTCGCTCACCAGAACACAGCGGTTTCCCCACCCACGTGCTGACACTGTGGCTTGCTCAGACGCGTGGCCGGACACAGCAACCGTTTAGTCCACCAAAGGCCGGACACGGCGCCCGTTCAGTCCACCAAAGGCCGGACACAGCGCCCGTTTAGTCCACCAAAGACCGGACACAGCACCCGTTCAGTCCACCAAAGGCCGGGCACAGCGCCCGTTCAGTCCACCAAAGACCGGACACAGCGCCCGTTCAGTCTACCAAGGGCCGGACACAGCGCCCGTTCAGTCCACCAAAGACCGGACACAGCGCCCGTTTAGTCCACCAAAGACCGGACACAGCGCCCGTTCAGTCCACTAAAGGCCGAACACAGCGCCCGTTTAGTCCACCAAAGACCGGACACAGCGCCCGTTTAGTCCACCAAAGACCGGACACAGCGCCCGTTTAGTCCACCAAAAACCGGACACAGCGCCCGTTCAGTCCACCAAAGACCGGACACACCGCCCGTTTCGTCCACCAAAGACCGGACACAGCGCCCGTTCAGTCCACTAAAGGCCGGACACAGCGCCCGTTCAGTCCACCAAAGACCGGACACAGCGCCCGTTAAGTCCACCAAAGACCGGACACAGCGCCCGTTCAGTCCACTAAAGACCGGACACAGCGCCCGTTTAGTCCACCAAAGACCGGACACAGCGCCCGTTTAGTCCACCAAAGACCGGACACACCGCCCGTTTAGTCCACCAAAGACCGGACACAGCGCCCGTTCAGTCCACCAAAAACCGGACACACCGCCCGTTCAGTCCACCAAAGAACCCACTGGGTGCGATGCTCCCAATCACAACCCCAATATGTCATCCAGCCTAGTCGTCTCAGCGGGTGTTTGCCGCGTTAAATGCCTTAAAACGCTGTAAGATGATCGCCAAATGAGGCGAGAATACCTTGATGCATGCGCGGCTTTTGGCGCTCGCATTCGTGAGGGCCCCATTCAGCATCGCCGCGGGCCTGAAAAACGTGCGGCAACGATCGTCTCATACTGGGCGTCAAACGAATCAGTGGGGTAAGATATTTACCCCTTACCAAACCTGAAAGTGCGACCAGGACGACGGGAAGTACGATGTCGCCGACCGACCTTACATGCACTTAACACGAGGCAGACCACCCTGTTCGAGGAGACCCCTAAGATTGCGGAGGCCCTGAGGTCCAAGAGACCTATGGAATGGAAGCCCCTGTACTACTGGCGGCCGCTTCTCTCCGAGAACAATCAGCGAAGCCCCTGATTGCAGGGGTCGCCACAGTGGCTGTTAAACATCCGCTCCCACAGCAAGCCAACGAAACATGGTGGTGAAAGAGTAAGACCAGTCCCAGCAGTCGGCTCCGGCCACAAATAATGCATTGTAACAACACGGGACGGACACGCAGTTCCACGCAACATAGACACACGCAGGTTGCATGTAGTTTATTTTACGAATACTCTGCTACTCTGGCCCAAGATCGCCGCTGATCAAACTGGCACGCGCGTTGAAAGTCAAAGGTCGCTCGTGAGCCATGTGAAACAGAGAAACCGCTGAAATAAGCAGTAGCTTATTTGTTGGCGTTGAAGCAAATCGCCCGTCGTCAGCCCAGTGTGGACGAAAAATAGCACGGAAACGTCCAGGGCTATCATACGGGTCAGGTAAAATTTGTGAAGGTAAAGTCAGGTAAAATTTAAACAACCGCATGTATAAAGTTTTGATGCCAGTGAAGTGGTCATTTAATATATGATTGCACAAATGCCGATAAATGCGTGGTTTTGCGTATAGCCGAGTACCAATCGGTTAAATACCAAATAAACAGCACTACCATCGCCAAGCTTCGAGACATCCCGACACAACTCAACAAAACCGAAGGGCTAGACCGCAGCTAAGTCGCAGGCGGGGCGAAGGGAGGGAGAGGGTCGTGTCGACGCACCGGCAGGCGGGGCGAGGGGAGGGAGAGGGTCGTGCCGACACTTGCCTGCTGGTTAACCGGGTAGATGTTGTCCACCAGCCGCTTCCATCGCGGCCGGAGCGCCGAACATAGGCCGCAACAGCCTGCGCGGCAGACAAACCGTTAGACGCCTGACACACCGACAGCCTGTCACGCCGACAGCCTGACACACCGACCGCCTGTCACGCCGACAGCCTGACACACCGACCGCCTGTCACGCCGACACCCACAGTCAGCCACGCAAGGCAGCAGGCTGCCATGCAGCGCTGCAAAACCTCACCAGGCTGTCGGACCGAATGTAGGCGGCCGGTCCGACGGACGGACCGTCAGCAGGCCAACAGGCGCCATCAGCGCCAGTCAGACGGACTGCCGACGTTCATTGCGCATCGGCGGGACTCGAGACCAGGCAGTTTGCCTGAGCCACCGACTGTCAGCACCCAGCCGAGCGGCGGCGGCCCGTGTGGGACCACGGCCGCTCTCGCTGGCGGCGGGCGCTCGCCCCGCTCGGACGGCGCCCGAAATCGCCCGGCGCCCAGCGAAATCCGAGGAAACATTTTAGAAGGGCACCGCCAGGCCTGTTCAGATGGCCGCGAGTTCTGCTTGTTTCCCTTAGAAAGAAATCGGTGACATGGCCCTGTTCCGAAAAAACTTACAACCTTTATATTTGCTTACCAAGGCATGCGTACATTAACCTCGCAGTCGATTGAAAGATACATTTTCAACAAAAATACACATAGGCTAAACGGGCAATAGCAGAGCAACACCAAAAATGATCTCGGGGACCATAATCGACACATGTCGCTGGCGCGAGGCGCAGAAACATCAAAATGCTGCTGCCATGCGCTCTTATTGTACAATCCGGAAGCCGACCGAAAACAACGCGACCATTCGCCATTGCGCTCCTCGATGCTCGACGCCCTTCGTTCTTCGCGGGGAGTGCAGCGCGCGATACGGACGTCGTCTGCTACTGCACCAGGTTTTCTAGACCTACATACACAATTGGTACCCTAAAGGATGGAAACCAACGTCTACCGCTGCCAGTACATGCACAGCCGACATGGGCGCGGGTGGCAGTATCCACAGGGGAGAACTGAACTACATCCTGAGCCGAGGCCGGAACCATGTGGCAGCCGGAGCAGTCTTGTCCGGTGCAAAGTAAATGTCTGAGGCGGAGGAAGCGACCGAGACGAAGTGAAAAGCCACGCGAGGCGCTGGAGGTCTGGTCACGAATGGACGCGATGCCATGCAGTCAGCGGAGGCATCATGTGTGGTGGTTGCTTTACTGTCTCCAAATGTAGAGCATTTCGGGTAAGGTGTCGCGGCATTGCCGCGGCTGACAATGGTTTGTGGCATCGTCGGTTCGCGGGGCGGGCGAATGCAGAACACATGCGGAGAGCACCACTTCATCCCCCCACCCCCCCCCCCCCCCCCATGACGCGCCGTTACTACACACGAGAGATAGAGTGGCTGAGAGAGGATGATGTTGAGGCGTCAAGTCACGCGCGTGGCGTGAGATGACACGGTCGCTGGCCCACAACGACGATGCCACAAACCATTGTCAGCCGCGGCAATGTCGCGACACTTTAACGGGAATGTTCCACATTCGAAGATAATAAAGCAACCATCAAATATGATGGAGCAAGCTCACGCATACTTATAAGTATACCTTTAAGTGGAAAAGACTGCTCTAGACCGCACATTCCCCTGTTTAGAGAATACGCTCCTCAATGTGGCATGGTTTGATTACGTCAGCATATCTCGCACAACATTGATTGAGAGCCAATTGGCGGCCGTTTTATCTGGAAATCGCGTTCACGAACACCAGAAATAAACGCCTGGACAAGCAGGATTTGAATGAGGTCATTATTACGCCATGAATGCCAAGGTGACTTTGAAATACGCTGCCCGATATACCTTTCCCATTTTCGCCGGCGCGTAGTTCGGAAGCTAGAGGTCTTAAGGACAGGATTGACAACAGCACCGAAAGGTCTTCCAGCTGGCTGTTTCAGTTAAAAAAGTGGAACATTCCCTTTAATCTAGATCTGTAAGTCTGGCTGGACACCTGCAATTGGGGGTACCATGAGGTTCCCAAAACAAGGCTGCGGGCCAACTGAACAGCCACAGGCATAAGGAGACGGTGGATGGAGAAAACAAGCAAACCGGAACAAACACCAATCAGAACAAGGCTTGAGTTCAAGAGACACTCGAGCGACAACAGATCGAGCCAGCAACGTGCAGCATGCAAGCAACAGCTCAGCAACAACAAGCGGCACCCAGCCAACCGACGACTCCGCCCGACAAACCACCAGGCGACAGCCTCGCAACGGCGGCGCCGGAGGGGCGCGGCGGGCGAGCACGCGGGCGGCTCACACGAGGGGCTGGTGCACTTGTCGGCGGCCGCCTCGAGCGTTTCAGACAGCTCGGGCAGGCCGCACCAGCCGAACATGGCGCGGCCGGCGACTGAGGCCGCGCGGCGCCCCGCGCCCGGCGCGCATTGATCGCGCACCTCATCGACCGCCGGCGCTGCCGCGCCTGCAACAGGTGGCCGCCACGTCAACAAAAACGACGACGCGTCGCCCCCGCCGCCACCGCCGCCGCCGTCGTCGCCGCCGGCGGGCAAAGCTGACGCCACGGCGGGGGCGGGCCGCGGCGACCGACGACAGAACGCCCGGCACCCCAGGAGCTGCCGCCCGGCAACCGGGAGCTGTCACAGGACAGCCCGGGAGCTGCCACAGGACAGCCCGGGAGCTGCCGCGGGACAGCCCGGGAGCTGCCACAGGACAGCCCGGGAGCTGCCACAGGAGAGCCCGGGAGCTGCCGCGGAACAGCCCAGGAGCTGCCGCCCGGCAGCCCCAGAGCTGCCACAGGATAGCGGCGACTGTGACGAAACGGTGGCCGCCTGCGGCGAAGCGAGCACACACGGTGGAACTGCGGAGTTAAAGGCGACACGCAGAGCGGAAGCGGGGCTGAGCCGGCAGCCGAAGCCGGGGGTGCTTGAAACTGAGTGACGCAAATGCGGCCGCAGGAGTTCAAGTCAATTTCCACAGACAGAGGGTGTGGAGGTTGGGTATCTTCCACGGGTGGGGGGTTCAGACAGGTCCGGTTCGCACGGACCACGCTCTGGGGAAGCCGACGGAGTTTGGGTCATTACAACATATGGAACTTCGTAAGCTCACAACTATCACAGATGGAGCTTAGGGGAATGAGGTCACTGCAGACGGACGCCAACGGAGCTTAGGATGTTTACCACTGGTCACATGGCGCCAGATGTAGCCTGCGAATGCCAGATGTGACTTGAGAATGCCAGATAACTACCATAGGTCAAGCTGGGAGCACCGCGGGCGGATCCGGTGAGACGTTAATGACGCACAAGGGCGGGGAGGTCAAGGAGGCGGCGAAGAGAGGGCGCTGGCGATCGGGGATCTGCTGCCAGAGGCAGGCACGCCGCGTCCGCGACAAGCGGGAGGCGCCACTGCCGTTCTGAAACCCGTTTTCGAAAATGCATGTTTCTGCGGCCCAAACACTGGCGAGTTTCGTCATGAACATGACATCACCGCGGGCCCCAGTTTAAGTCTGTTGTATAACGTTTAATTGTGTATTTCTACATGTGCCACTTATGTGCCATATGTGCCATCCTATGTCATTGTCCTGGATCGAATATAACTCAGTAAGCTGCACTTATCCGTGATGTGCTGAATGTTTCCCTTTTTGGGGCAAGACGGAGCTAGAGAATACCGTGGATCGCTGCAGCAGGCCCGCAGTCCAGCAATGATGCCTCGGCTCGATCGGCATCGCGGCCACGTCCGCGGCACGCGCCTCGAGGAGCACGACCTGACGCCCTCCTGAAGCGAAGATGGCGGGTGGTTGCTACACATCCTAACGGTGCCCAGCAGCGCGGGCCCAGGCTCGCCTGGGATCGGTGCCACCGGTACCGCCAGACGAGGACGCCATCGAGGCCTCGGTGTGAGCATGTCACAGCAGGAGCGGCCTCACTCGGTCAGCCACAGGCTGATTTTGCTTGCGTGTGGAAATTAAGCAAATTCGCGTTCATTCGCGCATATCCAGCGTCGAGTATACACCTCCTGCATGCTTGCAGGCGGCCTAAACACGTAGAAGCGGCAGAAACAATGGATCAAATTCGCAACCCACTGAGACTTGCAAACTTACATCGTGCGGATGACGACCCAGGAATCACTCGAGTGCACTTACGGCGCCAATTGAGGGAAACTCGTCAAACTCGACTGATGCGCATGAAGATGAATCAGCAGGAACAGATCGAGGCCTACAATTGAGTAGAACTCATCAGACGGGAGGGATGTACGTCCGGGGTGAGCGTCTGAGCACCCGCCCGAAGTTGGAAAGGGTGGGGTTGGGGGGGGGGGGGGTCCTGATTGAAACCAGACGCTGGCGCAGTGCAGAGTTGCGAAAGGCTTTCGGCGGATGTGGCGCCTGCCCGCGTCATCCGCGTCTGTGTCGGCTGCGGCGCCATAGCGGAGCTCAGTGCCAGGTCCCTATGCCGGCGACGTCACGCGGCCGGTCTCCATCAGCGGCTGCGATGACGTGGGCGGCACGGGCCTCGCGCCAGCGCCGCGTCGCATGTGTCAGGGTGATGCAAGCAGTCAGGAGTCCCGGCCCTTTCACGGGCTGCCGCGACAAAGGACGACCAGACCCCGATGCACCGCCAGCGCCGCGCGGGGACTACCCGCCGTCCACCTGGGGGCGGTGCCGACGGAAAAGTCGCCACTGCCACCGTCTTGGGACACTGAAACTTGACCGGCAGCCGGCGGCGCACTTGGTAAAATGTGGTTACATAAAACCTGCACCGGCACGGCTGTCAGCAGGCGAGGTCTCCCGACTGCACCTGCCTGCCACACTGGCCGCGCTGCTCAGTTGGTCCGCACCAACGCTTCTACCCCACCCGCTCCGCGCGCGAGCACACAAACATTGTCCCACCTCAGTTGGATGCCCGGCCCACTTAGGCCAGCACCTCTCACTTCCCGCTCTCCAGCACAAATCTGCATCGCACAAAGCCCCGCCCACCCGATCAGCCCCTCCGGCAGACCCCGACCCACCGATGGAGGGCGGGGAGAACAATTCCGACAAGCGTCGAGAGCAGCTTGTGTCAACTGCAGTTGATGTGGCGACAGAAGCGCGACTCACGCATCTCAGTACGCACGTCGGTCCAATAACATGCAGACTGTTCGGCCGGACCAGACGGAATGGGTGGCGCTTTGACATCAAGGCGTGCAGCAGTGGCCGGGGGGCGTGAAAACAATCTCTGTTTCCAGTTGGGGAAGTGCACGGCCCCGGTCCAATTCAGCACACCAGATATTAGTTACTGCCGGAGAAAATCGTACCCGCTTCGCAGGTCAAGGGCTAAAGCCTTCTTAAGACTGGGGGCTGAGAAATTCGTGCGGCCGTTTTCCATGCGATGATCCAGCTTATGATAAGGTTGGGCAAAAGCGTAGGGCACAACTCAATGGGATTGCCTGCGGCCGGTGGCAGCGGCTGCGCTAAGTCAGGTGGCGTCACAGGGCAGAACGGACCGCGCCGAGCATTGCGGCACGGTAAGTTTTCGCCGCAAAATTCTGCCGATGATCCGGAGTTTTCCGATCAGATGGCGGAGCCAGGACTCACTCAGCAGGTACCAGTGAGAGTGAGTGCTCAGAAATATATCCAATCAAAGCGTTTCCACTAAATCATAAACAACAAAAAAGTTCCCAGTGGCACCTTTCTCGTCTTACTTCACCCACGGTCATTTGTCCTCCGCTTTTGGGACAACGGCGAGTGACGTATTGTAAAGTCTTCGTCTTCGGTAGGACTGCAGCCTGGGATGGGTTCGAACGGTGGCTCAGTTTAGTGACGTGATCGGCTTCAGACGGCGTTAGCACTTGGCAGTGGGAGACCGTCACCAAATCAGCTGTTTGACTTGCCCGCAGACACATCACCATGTTTGGCTGTTCTTATCCTAGGTCGACATATTAACACGATTAGGTCAAAAGCAAGGCGACAGAAAAGGGACCACGGCTTGAGGGCGTTATAAAGTCAGGGTACGGCAAAGACGTGGGGTTTGGCTGGTGGCCGGGATGCATTCTGCCGTCCGTTCCCCGCACGCGCAATGGTTGCGTTTAGCGCACATCATGTGGCTCACGATGGTAATTAAGTTGCCCCTCATTGGTTAAGCCTTAATCTCATAAGCCCATAAAGCAGCCAGCAAAACCCGGATGATCTCGAGCAGAGAGGTCTGTTGATTTGGTTCGTGGATCGGTAAACAAGTTTGACCTGTGACGTGCAGGCGTGGGTTTGGCCAGACCGGAGCGCGGCGGGAAAACTGGCCTGGGCGTTAACAGTAAGCGGCCTGCGCATTTTCTGCCTGGCATCGTGTGGGAGATTACGAAAGGGGTTCCCGGTTCCATAAAGCGGTAGCGCCACAAACATGACGAACCTGTAATGGCGATGTGACATCAGAATACCAGGAACAAAGAAAACGCAGGGAACGGCGGCCATCCAGCTCCGCTGTCATTTTGGTCAGCTCATCGTGCATTTGTCCTGGTATCAGGCCGAGTAGTGAAAAGTGAAGCCATAAACGCTCCTGAATTGGGGTCCTTACCCACCAATCAATTGATAGTCAGTAATCCATAGAAACGCACCGCTGAACTTGACCAGCTGGCTGCATTCGACACGTATCAGGACACTAGGAACACGGAAAAGGCAGGGAACGGCGGCTCTCCGGCTCAGCTATCATCGTACACTCTTCTAGATACACACAAAAAAACGCATCGCCAAACTTTACGGCCCGCCGACGCTGAACGCGCAGGCCATCCGACGAACGCTACTGCCACATGCACTCAACCGAAAGTTCGGTCTGAGGCGGCCCTGTCGGCTGAGTACGCGCGGGAGGCACCGACGTCTCCCTCAAGAGGAGATCCCTTCGCGCTCAGGAACATTCTAGCGAAGCACCACCCCGCCGACGAAGCCGCGCCGTGCGAAACTAAGCAGATGGAACTTAAAGTTTGCATTCCGTGTCCGGGGGCCGTCCGCAGGGTGAAGTTTCAACTTGATCTGTGCGGCGGGCAGACTGGGCGATTGGCTGGTGAGGGTCGCCGCACACAGCCGGTGCGCCACCGCGCGTTCATTTGGTATCGGGTTCATCAGCATCGGGAACTGCCCACGGCCAACGGCCCGAAGGGACTGGCGTTGCTAGATAAGTAACTCTTACTCACGTCAGAGGAAGACAACTATCCCAGCATCTTTCGGGACAGATTTCAAGGGCAGATTTTGTGCCGATATGGAATTTCATGCCAATAGATTTTATACCAAATGGTCGAATAACGGATCAGGACATGACCCCGTGCTGAAAAGGAACAGCACATTATGAAGAACAACGCAGTTCAAGCCCAGAGCACGAGCCTATGAGCGTGTCCTGTTCAAAGCCTAGCTCAGCGAGGTGGAATCATGAGAGGAGC